AGATCCCTTCAACCTTATGGTGAGGATGATATAGATATCTTTGCAAGGTACAAAAGATGTCTCAATGTGACACCAGCGGATGCCACACTTTGAATTGCAGTTACTCTTTCCGTTCCAAAAAAGGTGGTCATACAAGACCAAGCTGGGCGATCCGTTACAAAACACCTGGCTGGATGTCCGAGTTTCCCTGGGACCTCGGATAGGTAACAAATATCCGAATCAGGGTAACGGTACATGAACCACCAATTCCACCTTTCTGCATCATTTCATGAAGGCTAATATCAATATCAAGCCGATTAGATCGTCTTAGTAAATAAAGCACTCACTCCTTTGGTCCGATAGGTGGATGTGTGAGGAAAATCTGAACGGTGTAGGTGAAAACAGCAAAGGTGAGCACACCGAGGAGGTAGACGGACGAGAATCGAATGAAGACCGCCGTTGTCAGAATCCACATCGCGAACGAGAACGCCGAGAAATGAATCGTCTGACACACATCGGCCTGCTCCGGTTGTGGACATGAGAACTAAACAACCAATCATTTCATGACCTGAGTAAAATTCATAGTATATAAATCATGTTTTACTGATTCTTATGAAACTTATAATCATGGTTTCTCTGACTGAAGCTTTCATAAGCCGGCCTGTCTTCTGGAACCTGACGGTGGGATCAGAACCATTTTGGCAATTTTCCAGGGCATTGTTCTTGTCGCGGCAGGGATCGAAGCTGTGATTCCCAATAAAGCATAATGGCAAAAAGCTGGTAGAATAATGGCAAAAATTCCTGAATCCGTGACTTCGGCACTAACTGAAGCTTTTGTGTTGCTTTTCGCTGAATTACCAAGGGGTGAAGGCAATAAGTACAAAAGACGGTTCATCTACTAATTATGGCATCGCGGAGAGAAATCATCTCATCAAGGAACAAAACGGAAACTATTATGAATTACAAAAACTGATCAAGCAATCGATAAAAAGACACTACCGTGTTCACAATTCCGCAGAGGAAAAGAATCGTCATTATGAGAAGTATAGTAAGCGAGTGTCCGTGAGCGGTACGTGTGATAAATTGTGAGAAACTCTAAAATTTTGATATTGAAAAGCTGAATTTGATTTGTGAAGAAATTCAAATATAGCAAGCAATGCAGTGAAAATGAAAAAACCACACAGAAAAACATGCACGACTGAAAATATAACCCTGAAAAATACTCAGAATATTTAGCCCTTCAGCTCCGAGAAAAAAAGGTGGCCCACAATTTTGAGCCTTACTGCACGCGCGCTGGGTGTAACCCAAAGTTACACATTACACCTGGGGCTCGTGCTGTTGCGAAGCAGCCTATTCAGATGCGTACAGCCTAGGCTCAACCGTGCACTGCGTGAAGATTGACGAAGGGGTTAGACTTGTGGTTTTCGTATTCAGAGTTATTTTTCGATCTTTAGAGGAGATCATGGAGAAGGAAGAAATACATTTACCAGGAAAGCATTCAACTTCCCATGGAACTTTGAAATGAGACCCAGATATATAAATAGCGTCCTTGACGCTGATTCGTGAGAAACTAAACTGCAAAATGAACCTGCCAAGGAAGTTGTGAGCAGTCAAAGTTGGCTAAAGTAAAGCATATGAACCGTGCTGGACCCCAGGCTTTCAGAGTCGCCGCGGAGTAGTGGTAGGTGCCCTCGCTCTTCACCCTGGAGGTCATAAGCTCTCCTCCCGTTGGAGTGCAAATTCCGAGAGCACTACCACTACTCCACGGCGACTTTGAAAGCCCGGAGGCTAGTGTAATGCTTTACTTCCAGCCAACTTTGACTGCTCACAACTTCCTTGGCAGGTTCATTTTGCAGTTTTAGTTTCCATATTTGTAATCAGCGTTTGAAGCTCTATCGATATATCTGGGTCTCAATTCAAAGTTCCATGGGAAGTTGAATGCCTTTCCTGGTTAGTGGAGGATTGTGTGAGTACTGGCGCTTTAGTATTCACCATATCATTCCTACCCCTATCTCCTCCTGCGCCAGTTTTTGAAGTGAATAAACTTCGAGTTTGCAGTTCTAGTGTGTCAAATGGAGCACGTTCAGCTACACTAGCGACGCCATCAAACCGTTGGAGAGTCACTTGAAGGGAACTCCCTCCAGAGGGGGGGGGGTGATGTAGCAAAATTTCGGGATCGGCATGAACGGTTGACCCTGACACCGTTTCGACGATCGCACACCTCACTACTGCCCCTGAGACCTCACGCTTCATTGTTCTCCACTGTTCCAGGAGATTGAGTAGTTTAGTTGGGCTCAGATAGACAAGCTAGCCCCTCGGACACATGCACTTTAACACGAACCAGAAATAGGTTGGTAATTTCCATAAGTGCTCCACAGCAAAAAGCTCATGCATAGCATGTTCCAGTATTAATTCGCTATCATTAAATTTTTCTTGTGAAAAATATCATAAAGAATATAATCGATGGGAACATACATGGAAATAATTGATGTATAGCATCAGCAAAATGAAGAACATTAGTGTCAAAGCCACGACGATTAACGCGAGACTGGTAATCAGCCTGAAATAAATGCTTTGTGATGAAAAAAGTGCTGTGTGAGCCCAGTACAGTTCAAAATTGATTTATATGTTGTGACTGCTAACCTTGGCATCACGAGCATGTGGTAGATACCGTAAACGACTAAGAAAAATATACTGATCGCCAGCGCAGGAATGAACCAATGGTCCATCTCTTTGTGAAACTGAAAACACCACTGACGAGTCTTGACTAAGAATAAGGCTAGAAAGAATTTCTCTAGGCTCCTTTCAGTAAACTCTCGAGATTTTCAGAAAACCAATTTCAGGCCGGTGTCAGAATTTGCATATCGAGCGAATCGCTAGCGATTCGCGAAGTCGGACACCGGCCTTATAATGATTCCCTTCGTCAAGAGACGGCTCATCATGTGGGACCTGAGATTCTCAGGATACTTCTGAAGCCAACTCACCTCTGTCTCAAGGCGAACGTTTTTGAACTGGAGTGAGACAGAGTTCATGAAACTACCCTTGTTCGGAAGAGTGTTCCTTATCATCAATTTCGTCTTGTAGTTTAGCTTTCCTAAACATTACTTTCTATGTGTAATTTTACTAGGAACCATCCATAAATTCAAAAACGAAAAAAATATATGTAAGTTTTTATTATGGGTATTAACTAATTTCACAGGTTTCTCGTGAGCAGTGACCTTGATGACAAATCTTGGCTCGAATCTCGGCCAGGGCCAACAAAGCCTTCCATATTTGCGGGAGGTCCGTTAAATAGTTGAGACTCTACTCGTTATGAAAGTAAGAAACATCGAGTTGCACATCGACTAGCCCCTGTGAGTTGTGCAGGCCATATCGAATTCGAGCTACACTACGATTTTTGAAGGGGAGTAGAAAGCGTGGCCCAAAGAGGTGTTGGTCAATGCATGGAGGCTCTTCCTTTATTATTTTCAATAAACCAAGAACTCTTGATGAAAGAAATTTGTAACGAAATTTTCAATAAAAGCTGTTACAGCTGACACTTTTGCTTGGGTATGACCAATCGTTTTCACTGGTGTGGACGATGAGTGGACAAAAGTTATGGTAGGAGGCGATTAATACGGCGATGTTAGGAGCACCAGGGTCACATTGCGATAACAAAACGCTGACAACACTCCAGGAACGTAGGACGACACGTATAGAGAGGAGCAGCGGCAAGGACGAGTATTATGGACTGCGTTCTGATCATTTTCGATCCAAATTGGTGGTGCCTGGTCTCGTGTAACAGCGGGTGATACTTGCTCGGGATCTTTGAATCATTTGATGTCATTTTATCTCACAAGACTTTTGTTTTTACGCTCCCTATTGAATGGTGCCCCAGCTCTCTGGAACGAACTTACCTGACAGCACACGAAGCGATAAATTCATCAGAAGAATCCCTGGCCGCGAATGAGGTGGCCGAGCTTGCATCAGCCAAGGTAGCGATACTTTTGCGACTCAAAGGTGAGAAGCATAAGGAATTCTCGAAAACACCGTTCATGATTGATAGCGGCCCATTGGATAAAGGCTAGAGGCTACGGTCATACTGTGGGAATGGAGAGAAAACATGAGAACGCCCAGTGACCGAGAAATGAGTTCGCCCTTAGGAGGTTCGCGCCTTCTTTCCATGGGAGATGATTTCGTCTCTATTCCTTTCAACCTATTATCATGGAACTCCTCTTTGAATCGAGGGACGCACCGCTGTGGTACGCTGGGAGCCGATCGTCAAGTGCGAATCGAGCATTAGCGATCGCTAGATCCGAAGCGTTGCGCCAGGATCGAGCGTGGCCACCAGCGAATCGAAACTTGCAGCGAGTCGAACGATGGTACCAGCGACTCAATAGTGGTGGGGACCAACGTTTAAAGGAAGCCCGCCACTTTCAAACAGTGTCCACTGCAAAGTCCCGCCACTTTCAAACAGCGTCCACTGTCACGTGACACTGTTTGAAAGTGGCGGGCTTCCTTTAAACGTTGGGTCCCCGCCACTATTGAGTCGCTGGTACCTAGTTCGACTCGCTGGTACATCGTTCGACTCGCTGGCGCAAAGTTCGATTCGCTGGTGCAACGTTCGATTCGCTGGCGCAACGCTCGGATCTAGCGATTCGCTAGCGAATCGCTCGATTCGCAAACTATGACATCGGCCCTATGTATGTGTTTGTCAAATACGTATAATGTATGCTATTGATTTCTGTATGCTATGTTCGCACAAAAAAGCATAGGACATCATCGTCACGTGAGATGAGGCTTTGTGTAGCGAGAGGTTTCCGATTAGCCTCATTTCCTATATCGTTTCACTGATGGCTCAAACTAAGCACGTACTATTCGGCGAGAGTGGGTTGCATGTACTGCCTCACGTTGGTTACAGGTCAGTGGGTCTTAAAGTATAAATTACCCTAATTAAGTAAATTATCCCAACAAAACTTCACCCATTGCATTCTCCACAACACATCAGGCCCCTGCCCAACACCATATCTCTTTTCTTTTGACGATTCTTGCACTTCTGAAATTTCACGCCCTGCACCATGCCATTTTCCCGTTATTTCCGGCTCATCGAAGTGTTTGCACTATGTTCCTCTCAGAACCCCACGACCACTTAAAAAATAAATTGATCCTTTCAGTAGTATTCCGTGAAAACATTTCTCACCTTTTATTTACAGGGAACAATTCGGGTCCAGCCGCGTCTCCGTGAACTCGCCAGATATCGCCAACACGTTCGAGGTTGAAATTGTTATCGACAAAGCGACGCGTTTCTTCCGTCATGAACACACCACTGAAAATCGTTTGATCGTAACTGACCGTGGTCGCCATTCGAAACCACAATATAATGATTATAAATAAAATAAATTTGACATTGAAAGAAGGCACTATGTGCCGTTGACAATGAGGAAGAACCCCTAATGCACAAACAAAACATCGTTTTCACATCTCAGTGTAGATCACAACATAGAGGTCCATATGTTAGGATGAAACTGGTGCAGTGGAAAGGGCCCAGTTACCACGCATATGGCGCGGGAGACAAGTTTGGATCGAACCCCACCCGGGCCAATCGAGAACTTCATCCCTCCATAAGTGGTTCATAGGCACTAGACTACGAGACGAAAAATAACATCGCATGTATTGCCTTTATTTCAGTACCGTTATACGAATATATTAGGTCGGTCCATAAGTCTTGCAACAAATTACATTTGATGCTAGAGAATTTTTGGGAGAACTCCAGAAAATCCGCAACATATTTCCTGACATAGCATCAACCTTTGCAATTTCAACCAACGTCCCCCCCCCCCCCCCAGAGGGACCCAAAGAGCGGGCTTGCTATTAGGGATATTACATACAATTTACGCCAGAGGGCTCTCAGTGCCTCATTTTTCGAGTACACGTGAATTTTTTCTGCAAGTCATATAATACATCTACATAGGCATTGTCCAGAAAAGCGAGGATGCTCTCTCAAACCACGCAGTGCAACGGCGCGCTTACTCTGCTCAGCGTTGAATTTTTTTATTGAAAATAACCCACACTCCAACCACCCTGTGACTGACAATCACGATGCTCTATCTGACGCTGTTGAAAAGGGATCTGGATAGAGTATCGATCATTTGCTAGAGCGATTCCGATGCGACAAGGAGACAGCACTGTGGCATCTCCAAAGACTTGTGAAGATCCGAAAATGTAGAGTTTGGTCCCCACGTGCCTTGAGCCCGATTCAGCTCCAAACACGATCTGACACCGTTATGTTCAAGTCGACTTACTAGGGATTCTACGATTGACCATCCATCACATTTGCCGAAGATGAGGAGTGGGTACAGTTTACTAACAAATGAACAAGCGGCGGTAGTCCAGCTCAAACGCTTCGGGAGATCTTACTGCTTAAGTTCAACCTCGTCCAAGTAGGGCCTTCTCGGATTTTTGGTGGAACACGAGAGGAGATAAGCTCTGGGAACCCCCTACGTGTGTAGATGACGCAGTCAGCGCGAAAGTCAACTATCCACAGCTCGAATTGCAACGCTTTTACAAGTTTACGAAAGAAAAAGAATGGACAAAGGTGGCTCGTGGTATTTGTGGGCCCTCCTCCCAACAAAAAACCCCCGGGTCTTTGACATAGTGTCATGTGGGGGGGTGGGACGGGGACATTGTTGGTGGGTGATTGAAAGTGGTTACAACTGATAAGGGCTGATAAGGGGCGTCAGAACGCAAAAGTCGTCGATTCCGTTACCTGGCTCGCATTGACACCAGAGCAACCATGCTCACAAGGTGTTATGTGGGGTGGGACGGGGACATTGTTGGTGGGTGATTGAAAGTGATTGCAACTGATAAGGGCTGATAAGGGCGTCAGAACGCAAAAGTCGTCAATTCCGTACGTAACTCGCGTTGACACTAGAGCGTCCCTACTACGCAGAATTCTAT